AAATATCTGATCTGTGGTTGAGAGTAGATGGGAGATCTCCAGGTAGGGAAGCTGACTGTGCCTGGAGCCCTGCCCTGGCACTCACCTGGCTTTTGGCCCTGTTCTCCATCACTGAATCTACACTCATTTTGGAGGAAGATAAACCAAAGTAAGATGGGGTTGGTTGTTTGTAATTGGTGGTTGAAGTCTCCTGCTTTTAACCCTGAGCAGCATTAGTTGAAAAAAAGCTTGCATGGGGGCTAGGCTTGCTGTCTGGGGTCCTGGCTTAGTCTAATATTTTATTTTCTTGTCTTCTGTCAATTTTCTGGAAGGTAAGAAGATCATTTCCCAGCGTCTTTGTAAAACTTCCCCTGATAATTTCAAACAAATCTGGTGTTTGCGGTAGCTGGTTGAATCTCCGGCCCCCGGTGTGGGACCTGCAGAGCCCTTCCCAGGCTGCGCTCCCCGGTGTGTGTGTGTGTGTGCTGTGAACTTGTGTGTGTGTGTGTGTGCTGTGAACTTGTGTGTGTGTGTGTGCTGTGAACTTGTGTGTGTGTGTGTGTGTGCTGTGAACTTGTGTGTGTGTGTGCTGTGAACTCGTGCGGGCGCTGGCCCGGGCCTTTCGTGTGTCTGTGTGTGTGCTGTGAACTCGCGCGGGCGCTGGCCCGGGCCTTTCGTGTGTCTGTGTGTGTGCTGTGAACTCGCACGGGCGCTGGCCTGGGCCTTTCGTGTGTCTGTGTGTGTGTGTGCGTGCTGTGAACTCGCGCGGGTGCTGGCCCGGGCCTTTCGTGTGTGTGTCTGTGTGTGTGTGCGTGCTGTGAACTCGTGCGGGCGCTGGCCTGGGCCTTTCGTGTGTGTGTGTGCGCGTGTGCGTGCTGTGAACTCGTGCGGGCGCTGGCCCGGGCCTTTCGTGTGTGTGCGTGTGTGCGTGTGCGTGCTGTGAACTCGTGCGGGCGCTGGCCCGGGCCTTTCGTGTGTGTGCGTGTGTGCGTGCTGTGAACTCGTGCGGGCGCTGGCCCGGGCCTTTCGTGTGTGTGTGTGTGCGTGCTGTGAACTCGTGCGGGCGCTGGCCCGGGCCTTTCGTGTGTGTGTGTGCGCGTGTGCGTGCTGTGAACTCGTGCGGGCGCTGGCCCGGGCCTTTCGTGTGTGTGCGTGTGTGCGTGTGTGTGCTGTGAACTCGTGCGGGCGCTGGCCCGGGCCTTTCGTGTGTGTGCGTGTGTGTGCTGTGAACTCGTGCGGGCGTTGGCCTGGGCCTTTCGTGTGTGTGTGTGTGCGTGCTGTGAACTCGTGCGGGCGCTGGCCTGGGCCTTTCGTGTGTGTGTGTGTGCGTGTGCGTGCTGTGAACTCGTGCGGGCGCTGGCCCGGGCCTTTCGTGTGTGTGCGTGTGTGCGTGCTGTGAACTCGTGCGGGCGCTGGCCTCAGCCTTTCGTGTGTGTGTGTGTGTGCGTGCTGTGAACTCATGCGGGCGCTGGCCTGGGCCTTTCGTGTGTGTGTGCGTGCGCGTGTTGTGAACTCGCGCGGGCTCTGGCCTGGGCCTTTCGTGTGTGTGTGTGCGTGTGCTGTGAACTCGTGCGGGCGCTGGCCTGGGCCTTTCGTGTGTGTGTGTGCGTGCTGTGAACTCGTGCGGGCGCTGGCCTGGGCCTTTCGTGTGTGTGTGTGTGTGTGTGCGTGTGCGTGCTGTGAACTCGTGCGGGCGCTGGCCCGGGCCTTTCGTGTGTGTGCGTGTGTGCGTGCTGTGAACTCGTGCGGGCGCTGGCCCGGGCCTTTCGTGTGTGTGTGCGCGTGTGCGTGCTGTGAACTCGTGCGGGTGCTGGCCCGGGCCTTTTGTGTGTGTCTGTGTGTGTGCGTGTGTGCGTGCTGTGAACTCGTGCGGGCGCTGGCCTGGGCCTTTCGTGTGTGTGCGTGTGCGTGTGCTGTGAACTCGCGCGGGCGCTGGCCCGGGCCTTTCGTGTGTGTGCGTGCTGTGAACTCGTGCGGGCGCTGGCCTGGGCCTTTCGTGTGTGTGCGTGTGTGCGTGCTGTGAACTCGTGCGGGCGCTGGCCCGGGCCTTTCGTGTGTGTGTGCGCGTGTGCGTGCTGTGAACTCGTGCGGGTGCTGGCCCGGGCCTTTTGTGTGTGTCTGTGTGTGTGCGTGTGTGCGTGCTGTGAACTCGTGCGGGCGCTGGCCTAGGCCTTTCGTGTGTGTGCGTGTGCGTGTGCTGTGAACTCGCGCGGGCGCTGGCCCGGGCCTTTCGTGTGTGTGCGTGCTGTGAACTCGTGCGGGCGCTGGCCTGGGCCTTTCGTGTGTGTGTGTGCGTGTGTGCGTGCTGTGAACTCGTGCGGGCGCTGGCCTGGGCCTTTCGTGTGTGTGCGTGCTGTGAACTCGTGCGGGCGCTGGCCTGGGCCTTTCGTGTGTGTGTGCGCGTGTGTGCGTGCTGTGAACTCGTGCGGGCGCTGGCCTGGGCCTTTCGTGTGTGTGCGTGTGTGCGTGCTGTGAATTCGTGCGGGCGCTGGCCTGGGCCTTTCGTGTGTGTGCGTGCTGTGAACTCGTGCGGGCGCTGGCCTGGGCCTTTCGTGTGTGTGCGTGCTGTGAACTCGTGCGGGCGCTGGCCTGGGCCTTTCGTGTGTGTGTGTGCGTGTGTGCGTGCTGTGAACTCGTGCGGGCGCTGGCCTGGGCCTTTCGTGTGTGTGTGTGCGTGCTGTGAACTCGTGCGGGAGCTGGCCTGGGCCTTTCGTGTGTGTGTGTGTGTGCTGTGAACTCGTGCGGGAGCTGGCCTGGGCCTTTCGTGTGTGTGTGTGTGTGTGTGCGTGTGTGTGTCTGTGTGCGTGCTGTGAACTCGCGCGGGCGCTGGCCCGGGCCTTTCGTGTGTGTGCGTGTGTGCGTGCTGTGAACTCGCGCGGGCGCTGGCCCGGGCCTTTCGTGTGTGTGTGTGTGTGCGTGCTGTGAACTCGTGCGGGCGCTGGCCTGGGCCTTTCGTGTGTTTGTGCGTGTGTGCGTGCTGTGAACTCGTGCGGGCGCTGGCCCGGGCCTTTCGTGTGTTTGTGCGTGTGTGCGTGCTGTGAACTCGCGCGGGCGCTGGCCTGGGCCTTTCGTGTGTGTGCGTGTGTGCGTGTGCGTGTGCTGTGAACTCGTGCGGGCGCTGGCCCGGGCCTTTCGTGTGTGTGCGTGTGTGCGTGCTGTGAACTCGCGCGGGTGCTGGCCTGGGCCTTTCGTGTGTGTGCGTGCGTGTGTGTGTGTGCGTGTGTGCGTGCTGTGAACTCGCGCGGGCGCTGGCCCGGGCCTTTCATTAACCAGCACGCTCACACGTCAACCGGAACCGCACCAAGCGTTTAGTGTCTAGTTAATTATTAAGCCTCCGAGCGCTTCCGTTCAACTTCTCGCTGGGCTTTTCTCTTTAGAAATAAACTTTCCCTGTTGTCTGAAACACTGCGCAAAGGGCTAGTCAGCACCTTGCGTGCCTGGGGCCGGGCCCGCGGCCCGGTGACCTTGAGCGCCCCGCAGCTCCCGGTTCTGAGCCTGCGAGCGGGGCCGCTCGTCCTTCCCGGCTCCGCTCCCGGTCACACGCACGCGATAGCACGCGCGGCTTCGCCACGGGGAGACGCTGGCCACGCGCTGCTAGTGGGCGAGGGAGCTGCTGCGGCGGGCGGCGGGCCGGCTGGGCGCGGGCCCGGCCGGCGTGGCTTCCGGTGACTGCGGCCGGCCGCAAGGTCAGCGGGCGCGCGGGGGACCCGAGCCCGCGCGCCGCGCCGACCCCGCGGGACGAGCCGCCCGGCCCCCTCCCAACGCCCCGGGGGCCCGCCCGGTCGCCGGCCCCGCCGGGGGCCGCGGACGTGCCGGGCGCGTGCGCGTGCGCGTGGCCGGAGCTGGGTCTCGCCTGGGCGCGCGCCGCGCGGCGCGGCCACCGGTTCTGAGGTGACGCCAGGCGGCCGCAGTGGGGGCGTCGGGGGCCCGAAGGCGTTTGCTTCCGGGGCCCACGGCCCACGTGCGGGGCCGGTGGCGCCCCCGCGGTCCACGAGACCCCGCCCTGCGGCCCGGAGGCGCCTCGCGGCGCGGGGCCGCGGCGCAGTTCGCGGCGCGCACCGCGTCCCGCCGCAGCGCCGCAGTCGGGACCACCCGGCCTCCCTCGCGCGCGGCGGCGGCCCGGGCGCGGCGGGCCAGCCGTCCCCCTTCCCCTCCCCCGCTCCTGCTCCCTTCCCCTCCCTCCCACCTCTCCGCTCGGACGGAGTGCGCGTGCGTGCGCGTGCGCGGCCGCCATCTTGGGCGCGGCGGCGCGGCGCGCGGCCTCGCGCGGGAGGGCGGGGCAGGCGGGGAGGGCGGGGCCGACGCCGGGCTGCGGCAGCCTGGGCTCTCCACAGCGGCGGCCGCGACTCCTCCTCCGCCCCGCCGCCTCCCGCCCGGTCCGGAATGATGCCCGCGGCCCGAGGGTGTGAAGCGGGGGCCCGAGGCGCCGCGCCCGCCGCCCGCGTCCTCTGAATTCCCGGCGCCGCAGCCCCTGGCCCAGGCCCGCCGGCCGCGGGGCGCGCGGGGAACCCGCTCCGCGCCGGGGTGCGGCGGCGCGGCCTCGGCATGAAGCGGGCTCGCGCGGCCGCCTAGCCGCCCGCCCGCCCGCCGCCAGCTCGGGCGCGCCGCGGGGCCAGGCCCGAGACGCCGAGGACGAGGCCGCGGACGATGACGAGAGCGCCCGGCCGCGGCCCGCGGGGCTGACCGCCCGGCCCGCCGAGGACGCGGTGCAGGCCGCGCCGCGCCCGCCGCCCTCCTCCCCGCCGGACCGCGGCCGCGCGCGGGACCGGAGCCATTGGTGATGCCGCCGCGCCCGCGTCGGGGCTCGGGGGCACGGGCCGCGTGCTGAGGAGGGAGAGGAGTTGTGCGGCGCGGGCGGACACGCTCCGCTGGGACCGCGTCTTCTCAAAGCGGACGGTCTCCGTTTGCGGGGACCGGAGTCGCCGCGGCGCCCCGAGTCTGCGTGGCGGGCGCCGCGTCGCCGGAGGTCCACCGCCTAGCGCCCGGCGTCCGGCCCTGGGGCCGCGACGGCCAGCCCGCCCGCCGCGCGCGCGGAGCCACCATGTCCGGCGAGGTGCGCCTGCGGCAGCTGGAGCAGTTCATCCTGGACGGGCCGGCGCGGAGCAGCGGGCAGTGCTTCAGCGTGGAGACCCTGCTGGACGTCCTCATCTGCCTGTACGACGAGTGCAGCAACTCCCCGCTGCGGAGGGAGAAGAACATCCTCGAGTACCTGGAATGGGGTGAGTGCTCCCGCGCGCCCCGCCGCGCCCTCCGGGCGCACCCGCCTCGCGGGGCTTCTTCCCGACCTCGCCTCCTTCTCTTCTTGTTTTGGTGAACACCTTCTCAGGAGTAGGAGCGGGGCACCTCGGCGGTGGCCTTGATGGAAGAAGGCCTCCTCCCCCTCCGCCTCTTGGAACTTAGCACGGAGGACTTAGAGCTTTAGGGCAGCGGTAAGATTTCACAGAACGCCTGGGCCGGGCAGAAAGGGTTTGCCGCGGGAGGTTGCCAGAGCATGGCCGAAGGACAGCCCGGGGCTGGAAAGACGCAAGCCTTCCTCACCGTCTTGGAGATCCCTGGGGACGAGAGGAGAGGTTGAAGTGTTGGGGAGACTTGAGGTGGCTGACCAGGGGTACAAGCTAGGGAAATGACTAATCATGGACTCCCCTACCCCGCCCCCCCAAACGGTCCGGTCTCTAAAGTAAAATAACGGACATTTACGAATTTTTGTGACGCTTGTTGATGGAGACGGATTCGAGGTAGCTTGAGAGTTACATTTTACCCCGAGTCGGATTTCAGCCTTCACTGGGTAGAGTTTTGCTTCAGACTTGTAAATAGAGATGTGATCCCGAAGACCTGTCACCGAGCTAGGGCGAGGGCGCTAGCTTCCTGGCCGCGGCTGCGGGCCTTCACGACTCAGGGCCGGAGTGCGTGCGCCTCCGCTGGGCACGTCCCGCCCTCGGCGAGGGTCAGTGGCTCTGCAGGGATTTTGGCCAACTGCTGTTTTGTGTCCCCGTTGGAATGTTAATGATTTTTGTTTGTTGGTATGTTTTTATACTAACCTTTGTTTCAGAGTAAATCTTTATTTTCTAGAAGTAAAAGTCTGGGGCTGTTTTTTTAAATTTTTTTGGACTTCAAGTTTACTCAAAATTAGTTTCTTAGCTCAACTACTGATTCAAGAAATGATTACACATCGTGGTTTTTTTTAATTGTCCAGTTTGCCAGTATTTAGAAGCATAACTGCTGACAATATGATGTCAGTTTATGATGCAGTTTAATGGGAACGGGATGATTTTTTAAAACTTGTGAATTCCTGTGGGTCCTGGGGCTTGGACTCTGGGCGCTGTCCCTCAGCTCTTCAGCTCAACGCAAGCACTCTACCGCTTGAGCCAGAGCGCCACTTCTGGTTTTCTAGTGGTTTATTGGAGACAAGAGTCTCACAGTTTCCTGCCTGGGCTGGCTTTGAACCATAATCCTCAGATCTCAGCCTTCTGAGTAGCTAGGATTACAGGCGTGAGCCACCGGCACCCGGCTACATGCCTTTTTATGTGTAATATAAAATATAAAGCACATAATGGTTTTACATCCTGTTTCATAAATTCACTTTATCCCCCGGTGCTTTCTGGTTATTTGGTTTATGGAGTTTTGTGCTATGAGTTTTTGGTGTATTATTAAAATAAATGTTCTCTGTTAAATATATTTTCATACATTTCTTTTATGTGTAGAAAACCTCCCACATTGTTTGTGTCTATATTTATTAAGCCGAAAAACAAAAACACAAGTATAGGGCCAAATTGCATTTTTAGTAATATATTTAAAAGAATCTCAAACCAGGAACCTAACCACAGTTGAAAGTAACTTTTAGTAGCACCTTTAGCACCTTGTACCTACTTTCCTTAGCAGTCTGCTTTATGGTGTGGAACTCCACAGTCTTGTAAAAAAACTGTTACTGGTTTTCAGTTCTAGAAAAGAAGAGAATAGGATTTTGTGTACTGAGGCTAAGCACTTAGTCCTCCTGGCCCTCCCTTCCCCCCTTTGGGAATGCCAATCAGGTCTTTGTATGTGCTCTGTCATTGGGCTGTACTGACAGCCTCTCAGGCATGTTTGTAAGTTGGGATGTGAAGTCTTGAATGTGGGGGTTATCAGCCGTACAGGTTTGAGTGAAGAGCAAGAAAAGAAAGTTAAGAATGGAGCTGGGCCCTGGTGGCTCACGCCTGTAATTCTAGCTACTCAGGAGGCTGAGATCTGAGGATCGCGGTTCTTAGCCAGCCCTGGCAGGAGAGCCCGTGAGACTCCTATCTCTAATAAACCACCAGAAAACCGGAAGTGGCGCCGTAGCTCAAGCGGTAGAGCGCTCGCCTTGAGCTGAAGAGCTGAGGGACAGCGCCCAGGCCCAGAGTTCAAGCCCCACGGCCGACCAAAAAAAAAAAAAAGAATGGAAAAGAAAGCTAGGGGATGCTCACTCACCTGTAATCAGAGCTACTTGGGAATCTGAGACCTGAGGATTGTGGGCTAGCCCAGGGAGGAAAGTCTGTGACCTATCTCCAGGTAAGCATCAAAACAACAAGAAAAAATCTAAAAATCTACTCAAGTGGTAGGGCACTATCTTTGATCAAAAAAGCTCAGGAACAGTGTCCAGGTTCTGAGTTCAAACCCCAGGACCAGTGCGCATGTGTGTGTGCATGCACAGAATGGGAAAGCTGTGAATAGATACAAATGAGTAAGTAGTAGGCTAGCTACCTTTTATTTTTTCCTTCCTGTTGTGGGGCTTGAGCTCTGGGCCTGGATGCTGTTCCTGTGCTCTTCAGCTCAAGGAAAGTGCTCTACCACTTGAGCCACTTCCAGTTTTCTGGTGGTTTATTGGAGATAAGACTCTCACAGACTTTCCTGCCCAGGCTGGCTTTGAACTGTGATCCTCAGATCTCAGCCTCCTTAGTAGCTAGGATTACAAGCATGAGCCACTGGTGTCTGTCTAGAATTGGCTATCTTTAGGTTACTGAAGAATTTAGGTCAAGAATGGCAGTAGGAGTATTTTTTTCCCTTAGGTGCTGAAATATATCAGCTGTTTTTCCATATATGAATTGATTATTATATAATATTCTTGTTATCTAACAGAAAAAAAAACAAGGAAATTTCCAGATTCTGACTTGACCTTGGTTTATTTTTTTAAGCATTATTTTTTTGGTAGCTGGTAGAAATTTAGAGGGATTATTGTTGAGTTAAATTTTAACAAGTTAGATTTGCCATATGATATTTTCAGTTTTATTTTAATAATTAGAAACTATTAGGTCATTAAATCTTTAAAAGACTCAATAATTACAGTAAGAGATCAGTGTAAATACTCTGTATTACATGGCAATTATTTGTGTTTGGCATTTGTATTAATGAAAGTGCCATTTGGGTAATCCTTATCAATGCTGATGATAGGTTACGTAAAGTAAATGGAGTCAATATTGACTCATTTCCACCAATTTTATTTTATTCCTAGATAGAATTTTCACTTTTTTTATTAGCTTACTTTAGTTATACTGAGGGGTATTTCATTGTACACATGTGGGTCCATGTCAGTTTTTTTGTTGTTTTTGTTGGTTGTGGGGCTTGAACTCTGGACTTGGGCGTTGTCACTCAGCTCGTCAGGTCAAGGCTAGCACTCTACCACTTGAGCCACAGTGCCAGTTCTGGTTTTCTAGTGGTTTATTGGAGATAAGAGTCTTCTGCTAATGCTGGCTTTGAACCAAGATCCTCAGATCCCAGCCTCCTGAGTAGCTAGGATCACAGGTGTGAGCCATCGGCACCCGGCCCATTTCGGTTTTATATTAGCCCAGCTAATGTTTTGTTGGTAGCAACGTCATGGCAATAAGAAAAATGACAATTCTGTGAAATGTGATGTTTTTCTTTAACACAATCCTTGTTTTAGGTGCTGATGGTCACAGCAAAGGGGAATAAATAGAGCAGGGGAGGAAGTGGGGATTAAATCAAGGAGCACTTTAAGACCATAGTTGCTTTTACATCTAATAATGTATGCTAGTTTCTAGTTATAGTCATAAAGATTTGAAAGACTTTTTTTCTCCTTTGTTTCTTAAATTGTTGAAATGATTTCAGTTTGCATGCTAGTTTATATATAAATACATATGCATATATAAGTACATGCTTATTTTCTTTTATACTAGTAACTGATTGTCCTATTTCAAGAGTGAATCAGATTATTTTGTCTGGAACAATGCTGGCAAATGGTAGAAACGTGTTCAGCAAGTGCTGGAAGGCTATTACTCCACTCCCCCTTCTGTTCCCCAAGTCAAGCTTAGAGGTAGTCACCAAGTGATACTGGTTACTACAACAGATGGACATATTTGTTAGTAAATTGTTTTAAGAAAGATCACTTTTTTTTCCCCAAGAGTATTGCTTTATGAGTGAGAAGAGTGTGTCAGGATTAACACTAAGAATTTTGGAACTATAATTACTTCATATGGAAATTTAGGATAAAAAAATCATAACATGGGGCTGGGAAGGTGGCTCAGTGGTAGAGCGCTTGCCTTGCATGCATGAGGCACTGGGTTCGATTCCTCAGCACCACATAAGCAGAAAAAAAAATCATAACATGTTGGAAATTTTGTGAAATGTTCCATAAGTCATAGGACTTGATTGCTGCTACCTAGTAAGCCCAGTCTATTTTAGGGTAAAAGTACTGAATTTGTTATAAATTAGTATTGTAGTACTACTTTTTTAATGGAAAAGTTGTTTTTCCCCCCCAGCCTTTTTTTCTCTTTTGATACCTTATTGCCAGTAAGCTTTATATGAAACACAGTGTTTTCTGTCCCCCCCTACTAGTCGTGATAGGTTTCAAAATCAATAATCTACCCAGAATTTTAAAAAACCTAAATACTATAATAAAAAATCGTTTATATAGTGTTATTATACAGAACACTTGTGTTTTCTTATATTTCTTCTTTTTTATAATTTTATTTTATTTTATTTTGGTGCTGGTCCTGGAGCTTGAACTCAGGGCTTGGGCACTATCTCTGAGCTCCTTTTTGCTCAAGACTAGAGCTCTACTGCTTGAGCCATAGCGTTACTTCCAGTGTTTTCTGAGTAGTTTTTATTGTAGATAAGAGTTTCATGGACTTTCCTGCCCTGGCTGGCTTTGAACCTTGATCATTAGATCTTAGCCTCCTGAGTAGCTAGGATTAGAGACACGAGCCACCAGTGCCTTGTATTTCTTATTGATCAGAACATTTTGATTAGT